ACCCCGCAGCTCGGCACCCCCCAGTTTTTGCCCCCCCCGGCCCCCCGTGCAGCGCTGCAGGCCCGGCTCTCACGCTGCTGCCGTGGATCTTCATCTTGAACTTGTCGAAGTAGAGCCACCGCTGCGCCTCCTCGGGCTGCAGGCGATGGAAGGCGTCGCGCGCGGCGTAACCGAAGCTGTGGAAGGCGCCGCTGGGGGTGAGCAGCAGGCAGGTGGGGGTCTTCTGGTTGGCCACCCCAGGGTCCCCGCCTTCCCACTTCCTGCAATTGGGAGCGGGGGGTGCTGAGCTGCTGTGGGGCACAGCATTGCACGGCACAGCATTGCACAGGGCAGCACTGCGCAGCACAACACTGCATTGCACGGTGCAGCATTGAACAGGGCAGCATTGCACCACACAGCATTGCACAGGGCAGCATGGCTCAGCACAACACTGCATTGCACAATGCAGCATTGCACAGGGCAGCACGGCACTGCATTGCACAGCACAACATTGCACTGCACAGCACAGCATTGCACAGTGCAGCACGACACTGCATTGCATGGCATGGCATTGCACAGCACAGCACTGCATTGCACAGCACAACATTGCATTGCACAGCACAACATTGCACAGTGCAGCATGACACTGCACTGCATGGCATGGCATTGCACAGTGCAGCATGGCACTGCATGGCACAGCACTGCATCGCACAGCACTGCACAGCACAGCATTGCATTGCACAGTGCAGCACGACACTGCATGGCATGGCACAGCACTGCATCGCACAGCACAGCATTGAACAGCACAACATTGCACAGTGCAGCACAGCACTGCATTGCACAGAACAACATTGCACAGTGCAGCACGACACTGCATGGCATGGCATTGCACAGGGCAGCATTGCATGGCACTGCACTGTATGGCACTGCACTGCACAGGGCAGCATTGCATGGCACAGCATTGCAAAGTGCAGCACAGCACTGCATTGCACAGCACAGCACAGTACTGCATTGCATGGCACTGCATTGCACAGTGCAGCACAACACTATTGCACAGCACAGCATTGCACAGCAAACACTGCACAGTGCAGCACAGCACTGCATTGAACAGCACAGCATTGCACAGCACAGTGCTGCACAGTGCAGCACAGCATTGCATTGCACGGCACAGCATTGCACAGCACAGCATTGCACAGCACAGCATTGCACAGTGCAGCACAGCACAGCATTGCACAGCATGGCATTATACGGCATGGCATTGCACAGCACGGTATTGCACATCACAGCACTGCATGGCATTGTGCATGCAGCATGGCACAGCATTGCACATCACAGCACTGCACGGCATTGCACAATGCAGCCCAGCATGGCATGGCACAGCACAGCACAGTGCAGCACAACGCAGCACTGCACAACATTGCAGCACAGCTCTGCACAGTGCAACACAGCACAGAGTTGCATGGCACGGTGTGGCACGTGGTGGCCCATGGTGACACATGGAGGCTGATGGTGACACATGGAGGCTCATGGTGGCACATGGTGGCACATGAAAGCACATGGCAATGCATGGAGGACCATGATGGTACATGGAGACACATGGTGGCCCATGGTGACACACGGAGGTACATGGTAGCACATGGGGACACACAGAGACCCATGGTGGCCCATGGAGGCACACAGAGGCACATGGTGGCACATGGAGACCCCTGAAAGCCCATGGTGGCACATGGTGGCATATGGAGGTACATGGAGACCCATGGTGACCCATGGTGACACACGGACGTATATGGTAGCACATGGAGGCATATGGAGACTCATGGTGGCACATGGAGGACCATGGTGGCACATAGAGGCACATGGTGCCCCATGGTGGCCCATGGAAGCCCATGGTGGCACAAAGTGGCACACAGAGGCACATGGTGGCACACAGTGGCACACAGAGGCACATGGTGGCACATGGAAGCACATAGTGATTCATGGAGGACCATGGTGGCACATGAAGGACCATGGAGGTCCATGGTGACACATAGAGGTACATGATGGCACATGGATGCACATGGTGGCACATGGAGATGCATGGAAGCCCATAGTGACACATGGAGGCTTATGGTGGGACATGGAGGCACACAGAGGCACGTGGTGGCACATGGTGATGCATGGAGGACCATGGTGGCACATGAAGGCCCATGGAGACACATGGAGACACATGGTGGCCCATGGAGGCACACAGAGGCACATGGTGGTACATGGAGGACCATGGTGGTACATGGAGGACCATGGTGGCACATGAAGGCCCATGGGGGTCCATGGTGGCACACAGAGGCACATGGTGACACATGGAGGCACATGGAGACCCATGGTGGCCCATGATGGTACATGGAGGCACATGGTGATACATGGAGACCCATGGAAGCCCATGGTGGCACACGGTGGCACATGGAAGCACACGGTGATACATGGAGGGCCATGGTGGCCCATGATGGCACACGAAGGCCCATGTTGGCACAGGACCCCCCGCCTGCAGCCCCGTTACCTCATCATGTGGATGGCCTCGGGGTCGCTGCAGAAGCTGAAGCCGTAGCCGCTGGACGTGGTGCCGAAGTCGATGGCCACCACCACAGCAAAGGACGGGGCTGTGTGGGCATCACTCCTCTGCCACGGGGATGGGGGCAGCGCTGGGGGGTGCGGGCAGAGCCCCCCCAGGGCCGACCCCCTCTGTGCCATAGGGCTGCTGCTGCCCCGCATCCGAACCCCAATGGCTGTGAGCTTGGGGCCACCCAGTGCCCATCGGCTGGTTCCCCTGTGTCCCCGTGTCCCTGTGTCCACACGTCCTCGTGTCCCATGTCCTCATGTCTCCATGTCCCTGTGTCCCCATGTCCCCCAGTCCCTGCATCCCCATGTCCCTGCATCCACATCCCCGTGTCTCCATGACCCTGTGTCCTCGTGTCCCCATGTCCCCCTGTCCCTGTGTCCCCATATCCCCATATCCCCATGCCCCCATGTCCCCATGTCCTTGTCCCCCCATGTCCCCATATCCCCATATCCTCATGCCCCCATGCCCCCGTGTCCCCATGTTCTTGTCTCCCCATGTCCCCCAGTCCCCCTGTCTCCATGTCCCTGTCCCCCCATGCCCCCATGTCCCCATGTCCTTTTGTCCCCCTGTCCCCATGTCTTTGTGTCCCCATATCCCCATGTCCCTGTCCGCATGTCCCTGTCCCCCCATGTCCCCCCATGTCCCCCTGTTTCCATGTCCCCGTATCCCCATCTCCCCCTGCCCCCCCTGCCCCCCCGTCCCCCCACGTCCCCACCCCCGCCGTTCCCTCACCGGTGACTGGGAAGGTGTCAGTGGGGCGATGCTGCACCAGTCGTGCGCTGCCCCCGGAGAGCCGGGGGGGGTCGGTGTGGGGCAGCGCTCCCCGTTGGCACCTGGAGACGCAGCACAGCCACCCACCTGCGGACCCCCCCTCGTCCCGCCCCCATCCCCGATCTCCCGATCTCCCTGCCGGGGTCGGGGATGCGGTGCTCCCCTCTGGGGGGGGGGGGGTCCCGCGCCCGTCGGGGAGGCTGTGCGGATCCCCGATGCGGCCCCCGACCCCGCACTCCCACTTGGCACGCGGCTCCAATTAGCGCAGGGCTTCATTAATCACCCGCACAGAGCGACGGCCGGCCGGCCGTGACCCCCCCGAACTCCCCCGAGCGCAGCGCTCCGGGACCCCCAAACGCGGTGACCGCGGGGTGAGGGGGACTTCTCCGCGCCCCCCCCGCGGCCCTATAAGTGCCTTTCCCTGTATCCGTGTCTGCGGCATGAATATTTGATCCCTGCCAAAAGGGAACGGCCCCCGGGAGGGGGGGGCTCGGCGGGGGCGGGGGGCTCTTTGGAGTGGGCTGCGGGGGGGCTTTTCACGGCGCAGCGCCCCAAAGGCGCCCCGGGGGCGGAGAGCGATGCTCCGGGG